TTCCCTGCTGGGTTCCAGGAGCTCTGAGCACCCCCAGGATGCTTCCCCCCAGGGGAGCCCATGGAAAATGCCAAAATCCCCATCACCGGAGGCTCTCCTGTGCTGAGGGCACATCCGCGGGGGCTGATCCAGGAGGGGCAGGATGGGATCCATCCTTCCATCCGAACCAAACCCCAAAATCCAGCTTAATGACGGCATCCCAGCACCAGGGAGTGCTGACCCCCTCCTCTCCGTGCCGAGCCGGCCGCTCATCCCAATCCAGCATCTCTGACCCCCTCCATTCCCTCTGTCCCTGCAGGGTCGCCGGGGTTTGGGGTCAATTTTTGTCTGGGCGTCAGGGAACGGCGGCAGAGAGGGTGACTACTGCTCGTGCGATGGTTACACCAACAGCATCTACACCATCTCCATCAGCAGCACCACCGAGAACGGCTACAAGCCCTGGTACCTGGAGGAGTGCGCCTCCACCCTCGCCACCACCTACAGCAGCGGGGCTTTCTATGAGCGCAAAATTGTGAGTTTTACCCCAACATCGAGTCAGGCACCATCCCTTGGATATTTTCTGCCTGGCTGGGCTGGATGATGGCTGGGTTGGAAGAGCCGGACTTTGGCGTTAGCCCGCCCTGCGGTGGGTTTTGTTTGGGATTTTTGGATGTTTGGGCTAAAATTACTCTGGTCCTTGGGAAAAGCTCTGGGATGGGGTGTTTTCCCTGGGAAATAGATGAAAGGGCTGGAGGTTTGCAAAAATACCCGTGCAAATATTTACCCATCCCCCAAAGTGCTTGTTCACTATCCCTTGCTTAAAAAAAAAAAAAAAAAAACAAAACGGAATTTTGAGGATTTTTAGCCTGAGAGGGGAAAAAAAGAGGGAGGATGGAGGTGTTTGGCAGAGAAGCAGCAACCCCAAACGGGGAGTGGAGACTTTGGGGAGCCCCGGAATTGCCTGAAATTGTGCACGTGGGGGTCAGCCTGGTTTTCCCAGCTGCCCAGGCTGGATTTGCCCTGTCCCAGCAGCTACTGTGGTCTTGTCACATCAAAACCATTCATTACCAGCATCCCTGTGCATCACCCAAAACTCAGGCAGTAAGACATCCCCCACCAGAGCTGGGAGGGAGCTTTCCCCCCAAATTAATTTTTCGACAAAGTTGATTTTTTTTTTTTTTAAATTCAAGAATGATTTTTTTTGACCCCTAAAAATTAATTTCCAGAATTCCAATGTCTCACTGGGACCATTTTCATGGCACTAAGGAGTATTTACATCAGCCCAGGGCTGCTAGAGCATCACTGGGCAAAAAAGCAGCTTCCAGGGGCACCTCGGGGAGAAAGTGGGTGGCATGTTCCCTCAAACCCACTCCGAAAATTACCTGATTAACTCAAAACCCAGGAGCCTTTTAAGAATTTAACCGACGGAGCATCTCTTTGCCGCGCTCCTGTCTCTGAGCTTTTGGTACCCAAGCATCGTGCTCTGCCCTGAAATTAAAAAGCTGGAAATGGCACTTTTTTTTAAAAAAATATTTTTTTTCCCCATGCAAATGGAAATTCTTGCTGTGCTAAATGTATCTGCAGTCCATTTTTGGGGGACTCTGGGCACCCCGATGACTCAGAAGCCATGGCAGGGGCTGGGTACCGCAGGCTCAGCTCCTCGCTGGCAGCATCCCGAGCAAACCCGGGATGCTCGATGGACATCCCACCAAACCTGGGATGCTGGGTGGGCTCACACCCACACCGGGAGCATCTCCGGCAGTGCAGGGGTGCAGCTCCTCTCTCTGCAGGTCACCACAGACCTCCGGCACCGCTGCACCGACGGCCACACCGGCACCTCCGTGTCTGCCCCCATGGTTGCGGGCATCATCGCCTTGGCTTTGGAGGCAAAGTAAGTGTCACCTCGCCACCAGCTTGCAGGGGGATATCTCCAAATTTAGTAGCTGGCAAGCAAAAGCAGAAAGAAAAAAGACATTTGGTTTTTTTGTTTTTTTTTTCCTCTGGAGCAACTCAAAACGGGGCGAAGTTATTCTAAATTGCTCCTTTTTGGCAAGATTTGATACAGTGTTTGTTGTTTTGCATCTAATCTTCCTGCAGGTGTTTTATTGAGTTAATTCTTCACTTGTTGCCATCTGTTGAAAAGTTGGGGTTGGGGAGATAAGTCAGGCTTTTCATCTGATGTGTTGAAACCGCTGACAGCTGGCTCCAAGAGGAGTTTTATAAATACTTCCTGGAAAAAAAAAAGTCAGAAAACATCACAGAAAATGGAGAATGTCTGTAGAAGTGATGGTTTTCAGTGAGTTTTTTGGGGGGAAGAGGACTACTTTTGCATCATGTCAAAAAGCCACGCAGTGTGACCGGCAGCAACATGCTCCCCGGTTCCAACGAGCTGCTCTTTGCCTCTTGTCCCCATCCCAGTCCCCATGCCAGTCCCATCGTGGACCACAGCCCAGGAGCATCCCTGCAGGGGACCAGGTCACCCCTTAGGGCATCCCCATGTTGCTCCGTGGAACATCTTCTCATGAGCTACTCACTATTATTAGGATTTTTTAGGGGTGGAAATGAAAATAAGGCTGCTAATGAGCTGCAGGGCAGCGCTGCACCAGTCCCTCTCCTCCAGTTAAATCCCAGCACCCAGGTCGGGTGAGCGTCCTTCTGGAGATGCCGTATTCATTACAAATATATTAAGAGCTTTCGATGTAATTTTTGAATTGTTTCGCTGAGGCATAAAACGCAACATTGAGTACAGAGCTTTGGCGCTCAGGAACTCCATTATGATGAGAAGGAATAAATTGAATTTCTTTTCTTAAATGTTGCTTGAGACCAATATAAATGCCAGCTCAAGATGCTGAAGAACCGACTGTAAGAAAATAATGGAAAATTCTTTGGCAATATCCCTGAGCTGGGGTCTTGGGGTGGCTCAGAAGCACACAGCGCTCAGTGTCCAGCACCCTGAGCAGACAAATCCAGCCTAGGGAGGGTTTTGGAAATGTGTTGGGTTTCATTTGTCTGTTAAATGAGCAACCCAAGTTTTTTATGGCTATTTTTGCTGTTATTCCTACAAAAGGAAGGTTTGCTTAGCAGCATGTATCAGCGAGCTGCCAAGCCCAGTACCCTCTCTCAGGATGCGCTTCATCCCTAATCTTCTACCAAAAAATGGGGAAAACCACCTTGATTTGCCCCAGTTATCCCCTGGAGCACGAGATCTAAATACCCTTGGCCAGGAATAAATCTGCAGGTGGCATCCTTCCCTGGGGCACCTCGCTCTGCTGGGGCACCCCAAGAGCTGGCCACCCTCCATCATTGATTCATCCTTTTTTTTGGAGCATGAAAGAGGGGTTTTTGGGTTTTTCTAAACCCAGTGGGCGTCCCTGCTGCTGCTGGAAAGACCAGAGGCAGTAGAGCCATCCCATGAGCCATGTGTTGTTGCAGCCCCCTGCTCACCTGGAGGGATGTCCAACATCTGCTGGTCAAAACCTCGCGGCCGGTCCACCTACGAGCAGCCGACTGGAAGACCAACGGTGCCGGGCATAAAGGTGAAGGGCCACGGGGACGGAGGCAGCGTGGCAAAAATGGCCACGGAAGGAAAATAAGGGTCCCCAGAGCTTCGGTGGTGGGAGTGTTTGCCCTGGATGGCCACTCTCAAATGGTTTGGGGTCTTCTACTGTCAGGCTGTTGAGTAGAGTGAGGAGAGGGCAGGAATTTGTGGGGAAAGATGGTTGGAAGCCTTGTGTGGTGGAGTCTTGGAAGCCTTGTGTGGTAGAGGCTGTCCTGAGCCACAGCGTTGGCCACTCCTTTGGGTGGGCTGCTCCCAGCACTGGGTTTTCTATGGTGGAGAGATTTGGGGTGTAACTCGGGCAGGGTGATGAGTTCTGCATGTTGGAGCACCTCATACCCAACAGGGTCAACTCCACACCTTCTCTGATGGTTGGAGGATGCTCCACCAAGAACCGAGGAGGAGCTACTGGTCCCTGCTGGGAAGGCAGTGGGTTTCTGAGTCTTTTCTCTTTTCAGTTAGCCATCTATATGGCTTCGGTCTGGTGGATGCAGATGCTATAGTGGTGGAAGCCAAGAAGTGGAAGGCGGTTCCCCCCCAGCACGTCTGCGTGGGAAGCCTGGACAGGGTCCCCAAGTGAGTGTCGGAGGGTCGGGGTCTCTCCCAAGCTCTCCTCAACTTTGAGGGCAGGTGACTTATTTCTCTGCCCGTGTTTCCCAGGCGGGTGATCAGCAGGGAATTTTTGAGGGTTGATGGTGCCGCTGGCCATTTTGGAAATGGCTTAGGGAGACCAAAACCAACTTGTCCATGGGTCATACATGAGCAGTGATGAGTTGGGCTCTCCTCCCTCTTCCATCAAACACCCCATCTTGAAAGACACCAAAACCCGGTGCTTTGTTGCAAGGTTTCCCAAATTTCCAGTGCTTGAGTTCTCTTTGAATTCAGCTTCAGGTTCAGACCAGCTCAGGTTCACATCTCATCCTTGGCAGGACTGTCACTGCTAGGCTAAAGGGTGGGATCAGGGATCTGGGGGTTGGAACTAGATGATCTCTAAGGTCCCTTCCAAACCAAACCATTCCATGATTCTATGATCTGACCAAATGGACCCTCCTGGTTTACCGCTGCCGGGCTGTAGAGCAAGTTGTCGTTCATCAGCAAAGCAGCTCCTTTGGAAAGACTCGCCTATGCAAAGCAGGATTAAATTTGGAGCCAAGTGTGTTCACGAAACTATTTATCTGATAGAGACACTAATTACAACCCAAAGAGGAGCGCTGCGCTGATAATTACAATAAAGCAGCGCCCTTGCAGCCCATAAGGCACAGATCTTAGAGGCAGCTCAAACCCATCTCGTTACCATCCAGCAATTCAGCAAATTCCCGTGCTAAGACGCTGTGTTGCAATGGAGGATGAGATAATTTTTGCCATGAAGCAGCAGGAGGCCAGGTTCAACTCTTAAGTGGGTGTCTGGGCAGCAGGGAACCGGGCAGCTGGTGTCCCCAATGCGATGCTCTGCCCATCCCCGGCAGGTACATCCGTGCAGACCATGTGCTGCGCACCAGCACCCTCAGCAGTGCCTGCGCTGAGCACCGCGACCAGCACGTGCTCTACCTGGAGCATGTCGTGGTGCGACTCAGCATCTCCCACCCGCGCCGTGGTGACCTCCAGATCAGCCTCGTCTCACCGGCGGGTACCAGGTCACAGCTCCTCGCCAGGAGGTAAGAGCAGATGGAGATGGGCAATGTCCTTGTTTAAGGGTTTGCTGCGAGTTTCCAGGCTGGATGAGGCTCTGAGCAACCTGGGCTGGTGGGCGGTGTCCCTGCCCATGGCAGGGGGTGGAACTGGATGGTCTCTAAGGTCCCTTCCAACCCAAACCATTCTGTGATTCTGGTTTCAAAGTCAGGCTTCTTGACGCACGCCATGACCATTGCAGGGTGTTCGACCACTCCAACGAAGGGTTCAAGGGCTGGGAGTTCATGACCGTCCACTGCTGGGGGGAGCGGGCGGCGGGGGAGTGGACGCTGGAGATCCACGACACACCGTCCCAAGTGCGCAACCCCACCGTGCAAGGTAAGGAACCCCTGTGCCCGCCGGTCCCCATTACTCCCAAAAGCTCTGCAGGCAGCTTGGCTTGGCCGTAACTTTTTCTTTGAGTTTCATGGTCTTCAACAAAACCATGTTTCCCAAATTTTTCAAAAATGAGACTCAAACCAGCCCAGAGCACAGGAACCTGGCTGAGCCAGGAGTGGGTTTTTTCTCCCCCCCAGTAAACTCCTTGCAAACCAAGAGCCAGGTTTCCAAAATTAAACCATAATGAGTCCAAACGAGGAAACCCGAGAGCTGTAATTGTTGTTTATTTGTTTTGCTTCGCTGCTGGGACATCTGGCGCGTGGGCTGGTTGTGCAACGGAGAGGACAGATACCCCTCGGGCTGCGGGACGGACAGACGGACGGACATCCTCTCCAGG